ACATTTTCAATGATATCTATTGATTTTCGGTAAGTAGATAAAAACTGATTTCTACTGATAGAAACTATCAGAAATCATAAGTAATCATGGGAATCAACAACTCATTTTCTCCCGTTGGTGATGGAGAAAACTTTATTATATTCCTCTTCTCTAGTCATCAATAATTAAAAAGATTCCAAAGAAACCGCAGCAATTTGACAGATCTGAAGAGTTGTTTCAAGATTAAAATATGCAGAAGTTAGTTTCTGTTCAGTCTTCATAAATTTTCGGCTGAAAATCTTGGACACTATGCATATTTCTGATTAAATATATCGACTAAAGTAACAATTGCTCAATTAATTTAATAATTAAGGAAGATTTTTATATTATATCTCAAACATCGCTTCTTTATGGGATCTTTTTGGTATGAAGAGACCTTCTGATCTGAAGTGTTTTATAATAAAAGTGACGGAGCAGATGGCAATCGTTTAAAATAGGATACATCAATTAGAGGCATCTAAACGTTTCGTCGCTATCATTCCGAACATTCGTCTTTGACACCGGATGGTCGGAATTGACACTTTAGTCCTCCAACGGGTGTTTCTAAAAAAAACCTAACGGATGTTCGTAAGATAGAGAACTGATGTTCGGAAAAAAATCTAACGGATGTCTGTAAGACAGAGAAAGGATGTTCGGAATGAATTATATGACAGGACAGAGTTACAGAAGATAGATATTCGTAAAAGAAACTATAGGAAGTTCGGAACGCAAACATAAGGATGTTTGAGACAAAACAAACGGTGTTCAAAACAGATTTAGATATAGAGCTGTAGACAAAGGAGAATAAGTCACATAATCTCGAAAGTAAAAGGTCGAAAATAATAATAATATAAGTCACTTTGATGAACAGCCAACACAAAATGCGAGTTTTCCTTCCGTCTCTTGATAGTTTATCAAAAAAAATCGAAAAAAAGATGCAGTATCCGGTACAGTAAAAACAAAAAACAGCAAAGACAGCAGCAAAAAGTGAATATTAAAGTGTAGTGGCCGCTCTTCTGTCTCATTAACTATATATAGTTTTGTGATGTCTAAGTGAAAAGTTCATTCTCTCTTTTTCTAAGTATCTGTCGCTAAAAAAGGTCTGTCTCGATTCATTTGTGTCTGCAGAAGAACAAGTGATAGAGATTTACTGTTTTTTGTTATTTATTTATTATTGAAATGTCTCTCTATTTCTGTGCCATTGTATTTCTTAAAAGTTTGACTTACAATCTGTGAATAGTGTTCTTTGTTCAATAAAATTCATTTATTTCTGATAATGAAAAGACAAAGCAATTAGATAGGCGACGGGTGTTGATAGGGAAGTAGTCCCAGCTGAACCACTATTGAATAAGAGTGAATAGAAGCTTGTAATTCATTACACATTTTCACATCTGTAACTATGTGCCTAACATACTATGTAGTATACTATGAAGGGAAGAGCGTTCCGAACATTGGTTAACTAGAACTAAAGTCTGTACTAATAAAAGAAGCAGATCTCCGTTCCGAACATCCCTCATTTTCTATTCCAAACTCCTGTGTAAAATGTTAGGAACATCCCTATATTTTGATTACAAACACTCGATAGTTTCTTTTACGAACATCCGTTAAAATTATCCAGTTCGTCACACAGAAATGTGTGTATCGTTGCTGTTCCGAACATCCGTTAAAAATTTTAACGAACATCCGGTTTTTTTTCGATGATCATTCTGAACGCCCGTGTTTTTTCTAATTACGAACATCCGACATTCTTATCATAAAAATGATGATTTTTTCAAGAAAACGGATGTTTGGAGCGGACTACGACATTGGATGTTCGGAATGAAAAGTAGCAACGAAGCGTCAAAATGCCTAGTTTTTAACAGTACCGTATTAGAGAGCACAACATTCTGAGTAAAACGAGGGATTGCCGTCTTTTCTACAGCCTTCTCTTAAAAATTTCCAAACATCACAAAAAAAGCAAAACAGCGAAACTTATCAAAACACAGCTAAAAAAACAGCTAAAAACTGCATTGTTTTGGTTTTGTGTAATGTTTGTAAATTTTTAAGAGAAGCTTGTAGAAAAGGCGGCAATCCCTCATTTTACTCAGAATGTTGTGCTCTCTAATACGGTACTGTTAAAAACTAGCTCTAGCAAAGTCTTCTGTGACTTGAGACTTGCCATGTCGGGTATTTTAGAAATCTTGCTATAGTAGGTGGTCTACGAAATCTTGGTATAAAGTGCATTTGCTAGAGTACTTCATTAATTATTCAAATCACTATTTGAATTTGAGCTGGGTGCTTAACATTATAGAAGAGAACCAAAAATACGTTGTTTGTAAACTTTTTGCCAGCACTATACGTATATGCCAAAAGTATTATGCAGACGTTTTAGATAAGCTCCTTTCTTTCTTGAGAAAATTGAATATTTTCAAAGATTAGTGACAAAATCATATGAACCAAAAAAGGGTTGAGGTGAAAAGCGCAAAAGGGTTTTTATTTTACGAAACTTAAAAAAAGTTTCGCACCCGAATATGAAACGTTTAGGGTTCAGTAATAAACCTTTTTTTAGATTGTAGACAAGTAATAATTGGTTATTTGTTGGAATGAAAGGGCAAACAAAAGAAAGTGGTACCGATGAGCTGCGAGCATTGATTGATCGAAAGACAAACTTATACAATAAAGATCTTCATCGTCAGCGCCAATCGTCACGTCTTGAGTGGGCTGAAGAATCCTGGACTCGATGGTTTTATGTTATTAGTTTCGGGTGGATGAATCCGCTACTTTCCTTAGGTTACAAAACAACGTTAACCGAAGAGGATCTTGATGATTTGCCTCAGACGAATAAGTCTTCTGCGCTGTATGATATGATAAAGGATTCCAAGTGGGGTCAACAGACAACATTCAAAATATTTCTCAGAGCATTGTGGAAACGCTGCACACTCATCGCCTGTCTTCAGTTGCCCCTAATGGTCGTTACTATTGCTCAACCACTGCTTATTTATCAATTAATTTTATATATTCAGGATCATCAAAGTTTCAAAATAATGTCTTCAGCATCAACTAGTAGTGGTTATTTTTATGCTATTGGGTTGTTTGCTTGCGCGGTTGCTCAAGTCCTGATCGTTCATCAGTACATTTTTCTTACGTCCCGTCTTGATTTGATGGTTCGAAGTTTGCTCTTATCGACCATCTATACACGTCTTCTGTCGATCAATATAGCAGCATTACGACAGATGACTACCAACTATGTCATCAGTATTGTCACTAATGACGTAGCAAAATTCGAAGAATTTTCCAAAACTCTTTTGTATATGTGGCAAGGTCCATTAATAGCTGGAATCATCTTTGGATTACTCTGGTGGATTATCGGACTTTGGCCAGCATTGTTCAGTTACATTACATTCATTCTACTGATTCCTCTACAAATCTTTTTGGGAAGACAATTTAGTCGCTATCACGAAAGGATAGTGACATATACTAGCCAGCGTATCCATGCGTTTGACGAATTTATCAATGGGTGTCAAACAATCAAAATACATAATTGGGAAAAGTATATTGAGACGCGCGTGTCTCAAATGCGTGAACTTGAACTAGCTAGCATTCGTCGTGCATCTCTTCTTCGCGCAGTTAATTTCACTCTATTCTTTGCAACAATGCCTTTGGTTGGTTTTTCTACATACGCTGGTGCTTGGTTCACTGGACGTCAGTTAAAAGCAGTCGATATCTTTATATCTCTTACATTCTTTACCCAGTTGCGTATTCCTGTTATGTATATGTTGCCACTGGCCATTGAAAAATTAAGCGAACTTCGACTAGCATGGCAAAGAATTGACAAATTCATCCAGCTGACGATAAAAGAAGGAGAACGAACATTGCATACATCTAACAACGATCATTATCAGCATAAAGGAGCAATTACGATGAGTGATGCTTCATTTTCATGGAATGATCATGATGACTGTCTTTCGTCACTCAATATTGATATTAAGCCTGGCACATTGATAGGCATTGCTGGAATCATTGGTTCTGGCAAATCATCATTGTTTTCAGCCATTCTTGGTGAGATGATCCAAACAAAGGGTGAAATCAATATAAACAATAGTTCTTTCGCCTACGCTGCGCAATCTGCATGGATATTCTCTGATACATTACGCTCCAACATTCTTTTTGAAAAACCATACGACGAGCAACGTTATACGAGCGTTGTACGCGCTTGTTGCCTCGATATTGATTTGACCATGCTAGGACCGCGTGGAGATTTGACAATTATTGGTGAGAAGGGTGTGAATTTGAGTGGAGGACAAAGAGTACGTGTATCGCTGGCTCGTGCATTGTATGCGGACGCTGATATCTATCTTCTTGATGATCCATTAGCTGCGCTCGATCGTATTGTGGCAAAACGAATCTACGATCAATGTATCGGCCCAAATAGTTTGTTGAGAAACAAAACTCGTCTATTGATCACACATCAAACGCAATTTTTAACTGATGCACATCAAACGATTATTCTCGCTCATGGTCGTATTAGAGCGCAAGGCCGATTCGATGAATTGAAGACTGAGAGTGAGGAAGTTGATGAAAAACATAGTAGGATTGAAGAAGAGACACTAATATCGCCGGCTATGCTCGATATAGGACAATCATCTGCTGCTACTGAATCGATTATTGTTAATGAAGCATCACAAAGTCATAATGTCAGCTGTTCTTTGTGGTACTCTTTGTTTACTGCACCACCTTTGGGATCATTCGGCTTTTATTTTATGATCATTCTTCTCGTAATTGGTGAAATTCTTCATGATGTCATCTATTTTTGGCTCTCTCAGTCGTCTCAACAATTGAAAAATAGTCCTTTTCGTCGGCCTATTGATATTAACAGCTTTCTTATTTTGACTATAGTGCTAGTAATTGTGGCCGTGGGACGTAGTAGCTTTTTCTTCTACCAGATATTGAATGGTTCAAATCGTTTCCATAATAGAATGCTCTCTGCACTATTGTATACATCGATGCGCTTTTTCGAAAGTAATCCAAGTGGTCGGATTCTCAATCGTGCAAGCAAAGATCAACAGGTCATGGATGAAGTATTACCTGCAACACTGTTTGATGCCATACAAACATTAATAATGACTACGGGATCTATAATCATTATTATCATTATCAATCCATGGATGATACTTCTACTTATTCTCTTAGCACCTGCATTCTGGCTATTATGTCGTTACTACTTACGATCGAGTCAACAACTTAAACGCATAGAAAGTGTAACACGTAGTCCTATTTTTGGACTCTTTGCATCATCACTCGATGGCTTGACTACTATTCGTGCATTCAAAGTCCAAAATGATATTATTCATACCTATATGAATCTTGTTGATACTAACACACGTCCATACCTTTATATGGCCGGTGCCGTACGATGGTTTTGCTGTCTAATCGATCTTATGACAACTTTATTAACACTTTTTGCTGCGCTTTTTGTTGTCATTTTTCGCGTTAAAGCTAATCCGACACTGCTGACACTCAGTTTGTTATGTAGCATCAATGTAAGCACTTGGCTTCAGTAGAATCATTCAAAAATCTATACAGCAAAATGTGCAATAGCTTATCTCGTTCACAATTAGTGAAAATCGTTGACGTCTATTTGTGAACAGTTGTAGTTTGGTGTCCGTCGATTGACTGAAGCTCAAGATTTGATGACTAGTGTAGAACGTGTCGATGAATATGCACATTTACCGCAGGAAGAGGACAATGGTGACTCTAAGAGACTAATCAAAGCTCCAACAGATTGGCCGGCTCGTGGAGCGATCGAATTTCGAAATTATTCACTACGTTATCAATCCAATCTCGAACCAACCCTGAAAAATATTAATCTAGCAATTAAACCTTGTGAGAAAATTGGGATTATTGGTCGGACAGGTCGGTGGAAAGAGCTCAGTTTTAATGTCACATATTTCATAATTTATTACATTTAGGTGCGGGCAAATCATCTCTATTTCAAGGTCTATTACGACTAGTTGATCGATCGACTGTCAATGGTACAATTCTAATTGATGATATTGATATTAGTCGTATCACACTGAGCCATCTTCGTTCTCATATCAGTGTCATTCCACAACAGTTCGTGCTCTTTGCCGGAACTCTTCGATCCAATATCGATCCGTTGAATATTTATTCCGATGAACAATGTTGGACAGCACTCGAAGCTGTACAACTGAAAGCAATGGTCTCCGATCATCCGGCGGGTCTTCTAATGCCAGTAGCGGAATGGGGTAGCAACTTGAGCATTGGTCAACGTCAATTGATCTGCGTTTGTCGAGCTATTCTCAAACCAAGTCGAATATTGTTGATCGATGAGGCGACGGCTTATATTGATAACGAAACCGATCGAATGCTACAATTGATCATTGCGGACATAGCTAAAAATCGAACAGTTTTAATAATCGCTCATCGGCTGAACACAGTGGTCAGTAGTGAACGCCTTCTCGCTTTGGACAAAGGCATGATAGTCGATTTCGATGTACCGGATAAAGTTTTAGCGCGTTTTCGATGATCGAAGGATTGCCTTTTGTTAAGGATTTATTCTTCCTTATGAACATTGTTCTTTCGTTTCCTTTCATTTAATACTCTACATTCATTTCTGTTCTCTCACGGTCAATGAACATTGATATTGACCTTGATCTTTTTTTATTCTTTTTCGTATTAACTTTTCTATTGCATATTTTATAATACGTTATACGGTTATCATCATATATAAATATATTCTTTGTTCTATTCGAAAAGGATGGTTATTGTTAGCATTCCCTTCTTCTTGATTCTTTCATTCTTTCGTTCTTTCATTTTTCATCATTGAAATAAAATTGAACTCACGTTCAACAAAATATAAAACTTACATTGGCGACGAGGGTGTTCTTTTCTCTTATTCATTCGTTCTTCATATTCAACACAGGCATTTTTTTTCTTCTCTTCGCATTCATTTTTCCATTATCTTCGTGATTCGTGCAATCATTGTTCATGTCTAAATCAACGTCAATGTCAACATTTCAATCACCAGCCGTCTCTTCAATTTCTGCACTTCATGCTTTTGATTCTCGCACCTGTACTTGGCAATCTTATTGTGATCGAATAAGTTTTTACTTTCAAGCAAATCGTATTCATACCAATGAAGATAAAAAAGCACTTTTTCTTTGGTCTGTTGGTGATACAACATATAATTTACTTGAATCATTGATCTCACCACAATCATTAACTGGTGATGATATCAAATTCACCGATTTAATCAAGTTATCAGATGTTCATTATGATGCAACGAAAAACATTATGACATCAACATATGATTTCTATCCATGTTATCAAAAATCAGGACAAACATTTACTGAATGGAAAGCTGAATTATGTGAAACACTACGCCATTGTGGATTTACTACATCTGCTTTAAAAGATAAACCACATGACCATGCACTTCGCGATATGTATGTTATTGGAATCAGAGGTTGAAAACGAACCGAACCGAACCTGAATTTTGAAGCAAAAAAAGTTGAACACGGTTTAATGTCTAATGACAAAAAAAATTACTAAACTATCATTGATTTAGAGAAGTATAATGCCGTCAAGAAAGATAATAAATGCGGAAACTTCGGATTTGAATCCGAGAGTTATGTGTACTTCAAAAAGTGAATCATACAAATCAATCATCCTAGACTATCTGAGTATCAAAATTATACTGTGAAATCTACCATTTAAAATGTTGATTTCTATTGCGCGTTGCCAAACCAATAGGACATGGGACCGAATACAGCTCAAGTTTGAACTCTTTCCCTTGATTTACCCTAAGAAAGTCGTTTTTCCTATAACTTCATTTCTATTGGTCACTGCACAACTAATAGTATTTCGATGGAAGTGCAGTACACATTCGAGTTCTCCATATCTGAAAACCTCGAAGTATCATCAGTGTGACCGGAAGATAAAGCTCTATTTGTGGATCAATTAGATCGTGGACCAAAATATAACCTAGTTCTCTTTAATTATCCTTGTCATTGGTAAGTCAACCTTCTTGTTTCTTTATGTTTTATATATCATTTTGTAGTTCTTGAAATTCTCTATCGAATGGTATATAATAGTTGGGGTTTTAATTGACTATGATAGGAAAAGTCTTTTACGAAAGTCGCGATGGGTCCATTTTTCCACAGAAAGCTATAGGGAAAAATGGGTATTTTTGCAATAACTCAGGAACGACTCGGCCGGTCCTTCTCATCTTCGAACTCGACCGAGATATTGTCAAGACTAAGCTGTGTAGAAAATTTCATCGCAATCTGACTCTCCTTTCGAAAGTTATCGTGTAAACGGCCGGACATACTGACCGATTTTAGTAGTGTACTCACTTTTTGAGTACACTAAAAACGAACATTTATTGATTGTTTCACTTGCTTAATTTAATCTTTGTGTATTGCTGTCTACTTTTTCTCTTAGTTTTAGTTACACAAATTGTGTTTATGATGACAGGTCACTTTTATGTGGCATAATTCTTTGATTTTTCTTTTATAAATTTCTCCATTTTTCTAAAGTGCGATGAATAACTGTCCGTAATGATATGAGATTAGTATCAGCACTAGAATATTTCTAATTCTCGTGCATCAATGTTAACATATAATTTAATATACCAATGTATTTAGCAGTGTTAAATGATACGAATATGAACTTCCATATGACAATTTTGATCGTCTGAAAACTAAGTTTTGATTTTTGGTCTAGTCTTGACTAAATGGCAGTAATATTACTCCAGTCGAATCGCAGCCGAACTAGTTTTTTAAAGACCAGCCGAACCGAACCGAACCGAACTCGATCTAGAAAAACTCGGTTCGATTCGACCTCTGGTTGTAATTAAAAGTCAAAAAATTCGTCAAGCATTACTTAAGGAACAAGATCCTGATTTAGAAACAACAGAAAAAATTATTCAATTAGCTGAACTATTAGAAGAAAATGTTCGTCATTTTGGTAATTCAATTAATCCTGCTGATTATACGGTGGCAAAGCTTCACAACCATCAACCAAAACGACATAAACAACAACAAAGTAACTCATTCGTAAAAAATGAATACAAACCATGTGAAACATGTGATTCAACTAAACATTTTCGATCAAAATGCAAATATCCTGAGTTTACTTGTAACTTTTGCAAAAAAACCGGTCATCTAGAAAAAGTATGTCGACAAAAGAAAAATGAAAAAAATTCTACAAAACATATTTCAACGATTTATCAATTGGACTGTCCCAATTACATGAAACGACCAATTAAACATTCATCTCCATTTTCATTAAAGGTCAATAGTTATGATTTTACCTTTGAACTTGATACCGGAACATTTAATACAATTATTAGTATGGAGGATTGGTACAAACTTGGATCGCTGACTATCTGTCTATCTAATTTGAAATTAAAATGTTACAGTGGTAATGCTCTTAAAATTAAAGGTGAATGTAGTGTCAAAGTATAATATAAAAACCAAAATTATAATTTATCTATGATTATTATTTATGTTGCAAGTCCACCTCTTCTTGATCTTCAATGGATTAACATAATGCAACTCGACTTAAACTGCATCATCCATGGACAAAATTCGGTTCAACATTCAATTCACAAGATTTAAAACAAGTAACGTTCGTCGCTTCGACACACTTGACCCTCGACTGTATAAGGCAGAAGTATTTCTCGTATGCATCGATGCGGGAAGAATTTATCTAGCAGCTTTATCCGAATAAGCAACGCAAAATTCTTTTCTTGAATCGTAACATTGAAAAAAAACTGCTCGGTCTCTTTGTAAAATAATTTAGGATAAACCCTACTTTTCAATAAAAGATTGTAAAAATCAGCACATCTTCATCCAAGTATACTCTAACAAATAAATACCTGCAGCGAAATAAATGTCATACTATTACACACTAGTAACATTATGAAATACGTTGGTTTTAGTTGGTAATATATGCTCATACAATAATTAAGAATCTTGATATTAAAAATTTTGTTTTTACCAACACCACACGATTATAATTGATTTATTTGCAATAATGAAAATGTAAATAAATAGGAAAACGGAAATAATTATTCAACAACATTCTATTATGTGATAAAAAAAGAAAAACTATAGCATAAAAATCCATCAACAAGAAGCACGAAATGGATATAATATGCAGTGAAATGTAAGAAAAAAAGAGATAAAATACCAAAAAAACAATATCAGAAAGAGAAAACCTTTAACATGGATTACATATGTAATATTATAAGCATTAACAATTACATACAAAGTTTTGTACAATCAAGGAAGAATGTTAGAACCATTCAGAAAAACGCATTTGCGTTTCTAAATATAGTTTATCTAGTCTTTCTATTTCGGCGAGTTGAGATTTACTTGGTTTCATTAATAAAATTTTGTAATCAAAATATCTTAAAATAATCAAATCAGCCAAGCGTTTCACACGTGACAAAGGTACATAAATTGTAGCAATGTCATCAGTTTCATTTGGTAACTTCAAATCAATTACAACATTATTTAAAGTTTGACCTTGACTTTTTATGTGTTGTAATACAATACGCAGGTACAAGTGGTAATGCACGTCGCTTAATCGATAAAATTGTCTTCTGATTTGATTTTGGTTTCTTATCTTTTGGTAGAACATCGGCAATATTAATGCGAAAAGTTTGTCCCATTAATGGTATTGGCACGAGATTTGATTGAAGTTGTTCAAAGTTGCATTCAATCTTCGATCTGACGATTTCAATTATTGCGTATAAAGGTTTATGTATGTATCGTGTATTGTTTGGAAATGTTTCTGAAATAACATCGGTTGATACAGAATCTTCTTCGTAGACGAGTTGTCAAAAGATTCCATTCATTCCATTAATAAGACCCAGTTCAATAGCAATATTTTGTGTTAAAATAACAGGCATTCCAGGAACCAAAGATAACAAAGCAGGTAAATGCTCTGTTTTGCTATCAGATAATTCTAACAGCTTCTTAATCAGTCTTGGATCTTCAATTGGTTTGCCTTTGCAAGTGTCTTGAGAGACACATACCATTGGTGCTTGTCCCGTCTCTGCTGCCTTGTTGTTCAATTGCGTCCGTACTTCATTTCGGAGCACAAGAATCGGAGCCTGAAAAAGCGAAGATAGAAAATTATTCAAAACAAAAAGAAAGGTTTACTTTATTCCAAGGGGAGTCACGTAGAGAGCCTACTGATGGTTGTCCAATAACTCGTGTTAACAATAATTCATAATCATCATAATTACATTGTCCATGACAAAGTCGTTCGAGAAGTTGAAGGTACCTTGGATCTTCCGTTCGCATCTGTTGAGTAAGTTTTACAACGCAGTTGATTTGAAGAATTACAGAACGGGCAACACGTTGTTGAACTTCTTTTTCATTCGGCAATTTACCTGATTTTTTTTTTCGATGGCAAAGAAAAATCGGTGTGTAATGGTGCATCATAAACAGGTCGGTATTGCAAATAGTCACCAAAGAAAATAACGTTTACGCCACCGAATGGAATTTGAGGATCGACATGTTTCGCAGAGCAAATGATCCGATTAAGTTTTGCTAATAAATTTAAACCAACCATACTCATCTCATCGATCAATAGATATTCGACGAGTCTCCATTCTTTTTCGAGTTTTGAATCACCTGGTTTGACTGTTCGTAGCTTTCCGGAATTACGTTGTTCACCCAAAAATGAATGTATTGTCATACCACCTATCTCGGCAGCAGCAATACCAGTGGGTGCAAGTTTTCGCATCATTTGCATCCTTTTCATAATAAGAAAGTATTTACTAAGAGCACGAATAAGTTGTGATTTGCCTGTACCACCACATCCAGGTATACACATGATGAGCTGCCCATTATTGTCACCTAAAAATACATTATATTTCAATTTGTGATAAATTATTTGGTAAAAATACCTGTACGACATCGGCTGTCACCATCAAGATGACTTGTTATTATCATAAAAGCAGCTCGTTGTTCTCTATTTAATGTAAATTCATCGGCGATAATTTGTTGAGTGGGAAAGTTGGTTGCGACTGAGACCACTGGAAGAATTGAGTCATAATTTTCAAAATTATTATTATTATAATTATTTGGATTCATCACTGTTATAACGGCATCTTTTGCAGCATGTAAATCTAATGTGTCATCTGTTTTGTCATAGTTGCCTGTAATTAAAGTTCGTCTAGCTCGTTGTCTCTCAGTTTTCAGTTGTTCTTGCCATTTTGTGTTTAGTCGAACAAGATTTGGTGTTGCGGAAACAAACGGTACAAGTTGTTGATTCGCAGAATCGATATATTCATTTAAAGAAAATTGACGATGAACTATAAAAGAAATTTCCATATTTATTTTCAATTTTAAATGACTAACCATCTTAAAATAATACTTACTATTTATATGACTAAATCGTCCAACATTTTCGACTGCTTCAATAGTTTCTTCAATATATTTATCTTCTGCTGATTTTTTGGTGGTATTAATTGCTACAGTTGTGTATTCATCTATATTGTCTAGTAATTCTAATAAGTCTTCACTATCGTTCATGTCATATTCACCATCAATATCTTGATTTCTAGGTAAAAGAATAGGATCAATTGCATCGTTATCAGTTTGAGCTTCAGTAATAACTTGAAGCAAATGTTCATCGCGACCTTTTTTACATTCATGTAAAAGTTGAATATTTTCTATAATATTCCATGAATGAATGGAAATATGATTTTGCCGAGATTTAAAAGCATCTTCCCATGTTTGATTGACGTCACAAAGATCAGTAACGGCGCGCCAAGGTACGAAAAGTGTGAGAAGAGCTTGACTATATCGTTCTCGAGTATCATCACGATCTCGTCGAGGAATTTGTGGACCATAAAGAATCGGTACACGATATTCACTGTACTTCATCAAAACATGTGTTTTTGCTTGTGGATGTTGCTTTTGGAAAGGATAACGTTCATTAGCAGGTCGACCTCTTTGA